CCTTTTCTTTCACTCATACTTTCCTCATTTCAGGCACTAAAACTTTTTCAGTTTTATGGATGCTACACTTTTTCATAGCCATGCCAAGGTTATTTCTGACATTTTACGCCTTTTCCTTTCTGTAACAAGGTTAACCTTTGTAGACAGGAAAAGACTTGAAAATTCTGAATGAATCGGCTCTTGTGCTTTATGAGTTGACCACTTTTCTTTCACTCATACTTTCCTCATTTCAGGCACTAAAACTTTTTCAGTTTTATGGATGCTACACTTTTTCATAGCCATGCCAAGGTTATTTCTGACATTTTACGCCTTTTCCTTTCTGTAACAAGGTTAACCTTTGTAGACAGGAAAAGACTTGAAAATTCTGAATGAATCGGCTCTTGTGCTTTATGAGTTGACCATTAGATTTGAGTAGTGTATATAAAGCATGATTTTTGAATGCAAAGCATTGCTTACAAATCTTTTGTCAGAAATTACCTACTACAAAAAGGTATTTCTAAAATTGGTGTATCTGGACACATTGATCTGCATTGGTTCGCCTAAAATAGGTTGTGTACTATGAATGTACTTTTTGTATCTGCAGTATCTTTGTTAGCTTCCAGCAGGTATTTTTATGAAATGATGACTTTGCTTGTACCTAGGTCACCTGTGTGGTTTAATGTCTTTGTTATTGGAAATGCATAAACCATTCCTGTGCATAATACACATTGTTTTATTCACTGATGAGTTGCAGGCATGTGTCGCACTCTTCCATGAAGACAGAGTGCTGTATGCCAAGTGTTTGATTTCTTACAGCAGCTTTGGTGTCTTCATCCTTCTCTCCTACCTCCATGAGTGCATACAGCCTGAGTTCCCTGAACATGGGGACCTTACCTCGCAGCCTCTACTCCACCAGCCCACGTGGGACAATGATGAGGCGGAGGATGAAAAAGAAGGACTTCAAAAGCTCCTGTAGGTGGTAACACCATTTGCTCAAAATGTGCAGTGAATGGGTGGAGGAGGGGAAGATACAGAAAAAAAGTACAAAGTACCTTAATTTTTATAGATATATATTAGGCAGAAGAGAGAACAATTGGAATTTCTGTTAAAATAGGGAAACATTAGCATAAAAATAGTTGTCCAATGCTGAAATGAGATAGCCAGGGTGGATATATTTCAGGCTCTTCCACTTTGTGTATTGCTAAGTATTCACTGGGCCAGAGAGAGTATGGCTGTATCAGTGCATTGTTTCCCAGACTCCATGTAAGTGCCATCTCTCCTTTTGGCTTGTCTGTCTTCCTGTGATCCTCAGCAGCTCAGTTCCTCCAGAGCAGGGAGATGAGAACTGCTCTGTAAATCATCTGCTCCATCTAATGACGCTCACAGGTCCACTCTGGAAAAACTGAGCTGCTGCGCGTTACAGTGCTGCTGCCCCGTATTAAAGATTTCCCATGGTCATAGCAAAATCAGAGCAAACCAGCAGCTTCCAAACAAGGCCAGTCATGATGGAGCTGAGAGGAAACATTTGAGAGAGGAACTGAGGTTTTGCTTTCTTGCACAGTTTTTTGTTGCTTGCTTGCTCTTATTTCCTTTGTAAAGCAAGTATTTTTACATAACGTTTGCCTGTAAATGCATTTTTTATTTTTAATCTGATCAGCCATTTTTCACAACTTTTTGATGTGTTAGCTTCTAATGCATTCATTCAGGTCATGGAGAGATAGTGTCTCCATCCATGCTGTGGTATCAGTAGGGGTCCAGCTCTTCCATGTCGTCATGTGCACATGAGAAATAGTAGTAGTGTTACACTAATACTGATTGATTTGAATAGTAAAATAATGCTGAGTGCAAAAAATAGTTCTTTGGCTGTGTTATATTATAGCTGCTCCATCCAACAAAGGACTGTTAATCCTGAAAGATAATCCTATTATGGATCTTGGAGACAGCTGTTACTTGTGTGATTATATTTTTCAGATATTTTTCCTTCCACGAAGCCTTGCCCTGCAGTTTGCTATCCTGCAAAGGCTCAAAACACCACCAGTGACATTAGATTTAAGTGGGACAGCCACATAAGCACTGCAGCCCACCTGAAAGATTTCTCAAGTCAGAAGGCGTGGGGATGACAGGCTGCTATGATTAAACAAATCTCTAGCTAAGAAGAATTAGGATGAGAACTTTGTTGTGGGGTAGTTTATTATGCATTTCCGTTGTGAAGTCTGGATATAGAGCATTACAAAATACATGGAACTGGCCCTGTCACTGAGTGAGTCTGTGCCTCACTACGAGCAGTGACTATATAGAATCACAGAATCATTAAGGTTGGAAAGGACCTCTAAGATCATCAAGTCCAACTGTCAACCCAACACCACCATGCCCATATCAGCAACCCTGAATCAGAGCTGGCTTTGGAGGAATTAGCTGGCCAGCCAGGCTTGCTTGCCCTTTCTGTGAGCTTGCTTTTCAGCCCACACAGAGTTTCTTACTGCTCTTGCTAGACTTATACCTGTACTTGTGACTGCAGTAACAGCCAACCTAAGAGACCAACACTGGACTGAACATGCTACAAGTGACCGTGATAGAGAATGACTGCTCCTGTACCCTTCCACCATCCATCAATAGGACTTGGAAAACCTTGCTCTTCTCCCTTTGTGGGAGACTCATGAGAATCAAGTAGCATCGACTGCTGTCCTTTTCGTAGAGAAGGAATAGCATGCTCTCATAATTTTAGTGATTTTTTTTCTTTAATCCAGTTGGATTATTTGAGGCCTTTATTAATGTAACTTTTAATAAATCTTTTAGGATGTCATTTGGAAAGAAAAGGATGTATTGGTGAAGGGTGCTGTAAAGTTTACATTGCCAGTTATTTAGGAAAACCTGCACAACTTAATGTGATCATGCCAAAATTCATGATGATGAAGTGTGATGGTACAGGGGGTTACAAGACTTTTATGGCCATGATTTCGCAATCATTGCATTATTTACACAGATCTTTCCAAACACATGGCTGTAAAAATTGAAGGCATACCCTGCTGCCACATGGTTTATTTATGCTACTTGTTTTCCATTTTTATTCTTCCTCTGCTTTTTTTTTTGTTTTAAAGTGTGATATTCATCGTGGAAACACTTAAATTATTGTTTGGTTAAAGTTTAAATCCTGACGTATTTTGTAATAAGTCCATCTTAGTACTTGAAGGTGAGACACAATTTCATATCAACTTACATGGTAGTTACTAGGGCTGCATATCTGGTAGAAATTAGAGAATGTCTCAGATGTGCACAGGTGCTGTTTTCTCAGCACATCCAAGTTAGCTGCTACCAGGAGGAATTGTGAACGTTTTGCAATTTCTTAAGGGTCACAGCAGGAGACTGCAAAGCATAATAATCCATATACGTACCTTTAAATGCAGCTTGCTCTGCTTCTCATATGGCTGCAGGAATAAAAGTAACAAGTACATTATCTTCAAATTCAAGATTACGACTTACATCACTGTGGAGCATATAGTAAACCAGCCCCCACGAGTGTTGCTAAGAGCTGGACTAAAACTATGTGAGTATGCTAAAATGTACCCCCAGCATAGCAACCGGGGTTCAATGGAACCACACATATATCCATGCCCCCTTTTTAACGCCATAAGGCTTTAAAATGTTCCTGGCCTGTAAAACCTCAAATCCATCAAGCAACCAAAAAAATGGCAGTCTTTCTTGCTGCAGTCGTTGTGTTACAAACCCCAACGTGCTCTGTGTCAGTCATGGGCTTGGGTACCTGTGGCATTTTATAGAGGCTTAGCAGATAGCTGTTGTTACATGATTTGGAAAGGGTATTTTCATCTCTGCTTTTTTTTGTTCCTGTTTCTGTTTTATTTTCATTGGGAGTGGGAAGAGTTCCTAATTGTCACTTTCAAGTGTCCGCATCATCAAAATATTCATCAGGGTGAGTTTTAAATCCCACAAATAGTAACTTAATTTCCCAATGTGAATTAAAACCTTAGCTGTCCTAAAAGTTGAAATAAATGTTGCAGGACCTTTAGGTTCCTGGTAGGGTATTAGAAAAAGAAAATTACAGAGTCAGCTAGATGCCTGCTGCAGAGGAGGAATGGACACATAAGTGATGGGAAGCAAAGATGCAGCTAACAAGTAATTGTTGTAAGACCTTCAAGAGAGGGAGAATGGAACTTTTCTGAGCTTGGATGCCCTAAATTTAGACATTTCTGGAAGGTGTGTTAGGGGATGCAGTGTTCTATTAACTCTGACTTTATCTGGTTTAGTCTTATTTTAGCCTTCACAACACTGTGGGCTGGAGAAGCCTATTTCTCACATGCAGTAGATGCTAAAGATGGTGGATATTTCTAAGAACAGATTATTAGTATCTGAATTTGGGTATAAGCATGTCTTAGTGCAGATAAAAGAAACAGTAAGAAGGAAGCTACTGAATAAGTGAAATAATATGCAATTCTTACAAACGAAGGTGAAAACAAGATGTGAGTGAGTATTCACAGTAATTTAGAAAAGACGGTTTCAGAATGAAAAGGAATTTTGCTGAGAGAAAACAGGAACTCATGAGTTTTTTGGAAAGTGAAACTTTGCAACAGAATTTTCATTTCCAACTGTGCCACATTAATCAGATTTTATGCTAACTGTTTCAGAGCAAAAGTCTAATGCTTGCAGTCCCAAGGTATGGGAAATACTTATACAACCTTGGACAACTTTGTACAGCTGTGCTACTATTATCTATAATGTAAAAATAAGAATTAATTTTTTTCTACATCTAAGAAAAAAAATTCCACACTTAATCCCTCAGATAAACCATGAACTAAACTACCCCTCAAATAAACCTTGAACTTTTATCTAATTCTTAGTAGCTACTGCAAGCAGAAATGAGTCTTGAAGGAAGTTAGAGGTGGAGAGGTAATAGCGTAGATTTATAACGAGAAAACATTCAGAATCCTGGGCATTGGAGGATTATTGTTAGAATACTGTACCATTACTTTGCTGATCTGAAAAGGAGTTGAAAGACTTTAGCTTTCTGTGTATGACGTAATGAAAGACAGTAGTCTGTCACGAGGGGAATTCAAACAATTACACAACAGACCCTTAGGCAGAGATTAAAGAACCAAAGGTGCAGTCTCCTCCTTTCATAGATAATTGCATTGAATCTCAGTGTTGCTTTTGTCTTGATTTGTTCTGTAATGCAGCATCTTCATAACAAGAGTGAGACTAGAGAGGGGGAGTAAATCAGGAGTACAGAAGTAGCTGCCTGTGTTTCTCACAGAAGAGTTCCCTCGTTGCTTTGAGAGACCCCAAAGAATATTTTTTCTCAGAATCTCTTGAGATATACTGGTTGCTAAAACAGACGGCTTTGTTCCACTTACTTACACTACCCAGTTAGCCTGACAAATTGCTGACATGCAGTAAACATATACAAGAGGAAGGCATCCTTATTTCTTGCAAGCAAGCCTGGGCCATGTGCTTTGTTGTTGCTTACAACAAAGTATTGCTGTGAGATGTTCAAAAAAGCTGGTGGGAATCAGCCTGAATAACAGCTGGGCTTGCATTTCCAGTTCCCTTAGCTCCTGTGAATATTCTGCTCATCCACGCCTCAAACCTAATGCAAACAGAATTCAGGGATGTTCTGAGGTTTTTGGGGTGTGGACGTCAGACGCATTTATTTTTCTCAGTGCAAGTTTCTTTCTGCATTATACTATACAACCAGATGTTTTCTATTCTCTTTTATGTCATAACTGTTTATATATCATTTATAAACTTTAGCCTACATTGACTTGTAAAGAGATGATTTGTTAACTAGGGTTATTGTACAGATCAGTTTTCTCAAAGAGTGATGAAATTTCTGCTGTGTGTGAACGTCTTTCCTCCTCATCTGCTCTGTTTTATAGTGTCTTTAGCCTCTAGCACTGTTGGTTTGGCTGGGCAGGTCGTCCACACAGAAACCACAGAAGTAGTGCTGACAGCTGACCCCATAGTAGGGTTTGGGATACAGCTCCAGGGTAGCGTGTTTGCTACTGAGACCTTGTCTTCTCCACCTCTCATTTCCTATATTGAGTCTGACAGTCCGGCGGAAAGGTGAGGTTCTTTCAGATGACTGCTAAGTACGTTTTGGTGAGCGTTCCTCGGGGTACTTTGGGCTTGTTGCTTTTGATTTGTGATAAATTGCAGAGCCTTGCTCAATGGAAGTGTGGCAAGTAATAAACTCTCTGTTCTGACAATGATGTTTCATACGCTTGATCAGCTATAAGAAGAATGGCACGCACCAGTGTTTTTATCATCCAGAGTCCTCCAGCAGGATACTGGAAGCTATATTCATGCAAAAGGGAAAAAAAAAATCAGAAACATCGCTGAAGTCAAAACAGAAATAATTCAATGTGCCATGGGGGGAGGCCATATCCAGCTCTGTTCAGTTTTGGGTACAGAACCAAATCTTAGGGAATACCAGAGTTTTGACTTACTAATGATTTCATTGCAGCATTTCAATTGCGTTTTTATGCTTATGTATGTCTTTAATCATGGCATGAGAACAGCAGTAGTTGCACAAGTACTAGCTGCCGTTGCAGAGCTACAACACCTGTAGTCCAGGGTCAGAGGCAGAGATGATGTCCATGGGTGGGGTGGAGGCGTGAAGGCTGCGCCCCTCTTCCTGGGGCAGAGGGAGAAGAGAGCATGACCCATGCTGGGAGTGCTTGATAGCGTCTTGGTGCGGGGGGCCGGCAGCAGCTTCTCTCCCCTTCTGTGCCTGGGTAGACTGTTGAGCTTCTCCTTCAAGGTTAGGCTGAATGTGTTTGATATTGCTGGTTCTGGTAACATGCACATCTGATGATTGTTTTGTGTCATTGTGTACCGAGGTGTGGGGTGCTGCAAATAGGAGACAGAATAGTGGCAATAAACGGTATCCCGACGGAAGACAGCACGTTTGATGAGGCCAATCAACTGCTCAGAGACTCCTCTATCACCAACAAGGTCACTTTGGAAATAGAATTTGATGTTGCAGGTACGAATGTACTATTATTCTGTCTGGCAAGAAAAGTGAAGAAATAAATCCCAAGTACATTGTGAGTGTTAGGCATGCAAGGTGGAGGCTTTCTTCTCACATATACACCATTCGGTTTTCAAGTGACCTATCTGAAATGTGTGTCTTTTTGTACATCTTTCCCATTTCACATAGCCCTGCAGCATGCTTCAGAACGCAAATAGCAATGACAAGTCCTGTAGTAAGATCTGGTGACAGTCCCTCCTCTGAATTATTTCCTGACATTTTTCTGCCCTGAGATAGAAATATTCTGCTGAGCTGAGGCAAGTCCTCTACAGGCCAGCTCATGAAATGTTTTATTAGACAGAAAAGTATTGTAAAAGGGTGGATAGGCAGAAAACTCTGAAGAGTTTCACTTACAGTATCTCAAACCAACAATCTAAATAAAGTAATAGAGATTGAATTAATAAAAGCCAGAAAAATCATTGTTAATGTTGCTGGTGAGTCTGTATTATTACTAATGGCTTTCCTTTCTTCTGTGATGTGTTTAAGCATACAGAATACCTCTATAAAATCACAAATTGTGTAAACCAAACAAGTACACATTATATAGGTGCACTACCCCACTATGTAAATAGTTTAAAAAATTTAAGACTTATGTGTTCTGACAGTAGCTCCTTTGAAGTCATGACAATGTCAGATATGCTATATTTTGCATAGTGTAATTATTGTTAATGGTATTATAAATCATGATATCAAAAGCAGGCTGAAGGTTCCTCGAGTAATTCTGTATAATCTTTTAGTATGCAAGCATCTAGTGTAATGTTAAAAAAAAAAAAGCCAAATACAATATGTACATTCATATATATAGGAAATGAAATATTACAAAATAAGAAAACCAAATGATGAGAAAATCATTTAAATGCACCTGAAGTCACATGTGTTTCAGTCCCTGGACTTGTTTGTGTTCCCATTTGCTCCATGACAGCAGACTCATACTCGTGGTTAGACTCTCTTGACACATGTATGTTTATATGTTTCCGTAGCTGTGATTTCAATCGCTCCTTTTCAGGCCAAGGCCCAAACTTTTGCTAGCAGTGATGCCAAAAGTCAGGATTCAAATACAGTGCTGTGTGTTCAAGTGGTTTTTTGACTCAGTCAGCTCCAGGCACTTCTCCATTAGGGATGTTTTGATTCTTTTTCTCCCCAGTAGGTGTAAAATCCATGGCGGTTACCTTAGTGGATAGTTAAAAATGTGTTAGACCTACAGCAACAAAGACCTGAAATCCTTAAGACTTGGTCTCCTGTCCTTTTAATTAAAAGTTATCTGCCAGCACTAAAATTTTCATGTGTGCTCACAGAAATTGCGTATTTCTGTGAGCAGCTAAAAACCTGCAGTCTCAGCTGGCTGCTGGCCCATGCAATCTCCATAAATTCATTTAAACCTTAAAAAAAATTGAGTTACCGTGAAATTACCGGTAGAGGTATAAATCATACTTTGTATGTCCTACTTCCTCCACTTCAGCACCTATGTTTCATCCATGGCTTGTGATGCTGATGTGATTTAATCAACTTACACATATAGTTCCATGCACTTGGAATTGCTATGCCTTATGAATTATCTAACATTTTAAATATTCTTTTATAGAATCAGTTATACCAAGCAGTGGAACATTTCATGTAAAACTACCAAAGAAGCATAATGTGGAACTTGGCATCACCATAAGTTGTAAGTGAAAGTACTTATTTTTAAGTCACGTTTATGGGATAATCTGCAGATATTAGGTCCTGTAGCTATAGACTCATGTTTGTTTTGGTATAAACTTCTTTTTCCTTTTCTAAAAAGGGATGATTAGCAGTGCCCTGTCTCTGATGAAGTATCATTCTGTAACAGATTTATACTCCCCTTCCAGCAGTTAAAGAAGCCAGAGGTTTGTCAGGCCTAAAGCTTGACCTGTTCCTTCAGGCACAGCACATATTTAACTCCCTTTAAAGTTATTTTTTAAAAAAAGTTGTCAATAGACTTGGGCTCATGCAAAAGTATTTCTGTAGCTGGGAAGTCTAAAGCAAAGTCTGTTGTGGTCTCTCACAAGCTCGTGAACAGAACCCCACTGAACTCAGTTCCTGCAGGCATGAGGATCCACATACATGGGGTTATTTTCTGCTTCAGAACCCAGAGTCTGAAGAGAACATCCTCAGTCTATAAAACTAGTGGGCAGTCCTAAACGTGCAGGTCACAAAGCAAAATCCCCTTTCACTAGGAATTTCAGAGATTGCGAAATACCGGGTTCAGCCCTTGACGGAAGGAAGAACAATCCATATCAAAGTTAATGGGCTTGTGTTTAATGTACTTAATGACAATACAGAATCTGGTCTCACCGGAATTAACATTCCTTTATGGTTGTGGCCTTTCTTAGACTATTAGTCTTTCTTTGGAATTATTCATGTGTCTTGGGGGAAGATTGTGCTTTGACTTATATTCTCAAAGCTTTTACCAGCACAATGGAATAATGTTAATCAAAAGTACAGCAGGGAACTCGGTGCTAAGAATTACATCTGAGAAAGAAATGAGAGACACTGCAGCCCTGTTCGCTTGCGTTGCACACTTGAATGAGTAATTGTTGGATTCTGTAAGATGTGATGTGATGCTTGAAGCAAAATCACAGGTCTACATGTATTTGTACAAATGAAAATATTGAGAAATGAGAAAACCTGGAGAGAGGTTGTTCTATTTTAATATTATTCTTAGAGTTGGTAGTGATTTGTAGGATTATCGTAAAATACAGTCTTCCTAGTAATTTGATTTGTGTTGCTTGTTGAAATTCAGACATCTTTGTACTTTTTTTCTGTCTGTAGGGGTAAACTTTGAATGGAAAGCTAATGTTCTTGGCATTTAGTATTTAGCACTCTATTCCTGACTTGGAACTTAATTCCAAAAGTTAGGGTCTTTATAAAATTAGTGCTCTATATAATCAGAGCAACACCTGGTTGGTCTTAGCTCTGCTCTTCTTAGTATACTGCAGTATCTTTAAATTAAATTATCTTTTCTATATAATAATCCCACTTATTAATAGCATTTAATGCATATGAAATCTGGCTAGGACTAATTCTTTATTTGATTTTGAAGGATTCATACTCATAGCTGAAAGTTTGTAATTTTGCTTGGTAGAAGTCTTGAATAGCTGCATTTCATGCTTGCTTTTCAGTGCTTTGCTCTGTTCGATCTAATTAACTCCTAAATAAGGCAGTGTGATTTGAAGAATCTAAGCGTTTTATATTAATTTTGTCAAATTTTTGTCAGGGCACTTTAGCACGTTAGCATGCCATTTCTTACGGATGTTCTCAGAAAGCTATATGATTTCTTTTAAAAAACTAATAGTAGGGGAAACTTGGCGGAGTTGGTATGACCAGGCTTAAAAAGGAGTGATAGAGGAGATCAGGTTTATTCACTTTTGAGCTTGATCTGTTTAAGTGCTAGAGACCTGTTTCATTCTCTCTCTTCTCAAGGTAGTGGAGTTAATGGTGAATGAGAAAGTGCTGTCTCTATAAAAATATTACAAACAGAGTCACAGAATACTTAAGGTTGAAAAACACCTTTAAGACTATCAAGTCCAACCATCAACACAACACCACCATGCCCACTAGATGTCCTGAAATGCCATGTCTACGTGTTTTTTGAACACTTGCAGTGATAGTGACTCCACCGCCTCCTCTGGGCAGCCTGTTCCAATGCTTGACCACTCTCTCTGTAAAGAAATTTTTCCTAATATCCAATCTAAACCTGCCCTGGTGCAACCTGAGGCCATTTCCTCTCGTTCTGTCGCTAGTTACTTGGGAGAAGAGACCAACACCCTCGTCGCCACAACCCCCTTTCAGGTAGTTGTAGAGAGCGATAAGGTCTCCCCTCAGCCTCCTCTTCTCCAGACTGAACAACCCCAGTTCCCTCAGCTGCTCCTCGTAAGACTTGTGCTCCAGACCCCTCACCAGCTTCGTTGCCCCTCTCAACAGCTGTTTCACTTTCCATATTCCCAGTTTAGTTTGTGATTTGAATGAGAAAGTCAGGAAATTACCTGACCTGACAGACAACACAGACATTTTTTGTCAGAAGGGAAATGTAAACCTCACCTCGGGCTGGCACCTGAACATACGCCTATTTTCCAAGAGTTCTTCTAAGTCACCTCTTAGGAGGTAGACATCCTGGAAGAGGAACTTATTTCTCTTTCTTTGTGTTGTTTTCCTTGGCAATAAACACCAAATGTGCCTGCATGAAGTTACAGACGGGTACTTGAAGGCATATCTGAGGTGACACACGACACTAAAGACAGTTAAGCTAATTCATGGCCTTTGAAAAACATGACATGTAATAGGAGATGAGACTACGCTTCTCTTAGTTTCAGATTTGTTAATGCAAGAAAAAAAGCAAAACAAAAAAAATTTCAAAATCCTCTTAGACTGCAGAAACCTCTAGAAAGTAAGACAGAAGAAAGTTTCATGAGCAGCATTGTTAATGTTAATACCAGGCACTGAGTTTTGGAAAGTGTATGTCAGTTACCTCGCAGTACACTGGCCTTGCCCATTGCTGCCTTCACACACATACTGGACTTCTGTCATCCTATCATCCTTCCCTTATCCCTGCAATATCTGTCTAATCTTCCCCTTAATAGCTACTTACACTCAATAAAGAGCCCATTTCATAATCTGCAAATATAAGTGGCTATATATTATGTGCTTCAGGTACCATCATTTTCACACTCAGTTACCTGATTGGAGCAATTAAAATGTCTCAGTTCTTAAAATACATCATCCAAATAAAGCATGACACAGCAGTGTCCATGTGTGTGTGATTATGGTTTAATAACAGAACCGTTCCCTAGAAGAAGGATAGCTTTCAAGTAGACCAAGTAGTGTCCAAATCTGTTTCAATTTATTTGCCAGTGACACTGATTTTAGACCATGTAATGGAATATAGATTTTTTTTTAAGATAAATTTTTGTGTCACTGGCTGCTTTATCATAGACTAATATTTTTTAAATACATTGAATGATGTCCAAGAAAATGACTTACTAGTACAGTCTGGTAATTGTAGTTAACAGCGCTTTTTTTTCCCTTTTCTTTCTTTCTTAAGTAAGATTCTGATATCCTTACTGGTAATGAACTGCAGCACCTTGCTTCATAAATAATCCCTCTGAAGCTAATGGGACTACTCAAGGAATAAGAAGCTGCAAAGCTGGTAAGAATATCAGAATCTCACCCAAACTATCATCAGTTTTTCTAAGTCATGTTGACTATCAGCTGTACTATAGTCTGCTTTATTGCTTTCATACTTTATCAGAAACAAGCTTTGTAAATATCTACAGTTATTTAGCATTGACTATGAGAATTTACCTTCTAAAGCATGTTTCTGTATATTTTGGGATTTCACCTAGCAAACTCAACTTCATTTTGCAATGTTACAAGTAATTATTTTCAAGACGGGGCCTCAAGAATCAGCAGGTTTCTCAGCGGCTCCACATGAACCAATACTTAAGGAACAAAAGAGCTACATCAGTCTAATTTTAAAAAACTCTTTCATCTATTTAATAATCACACTACCTTAAAAAAAGTCTAGTAGCTGGTAACCAGCATTGTGGCTAAGTGGACTGACTTTGTATAAGAAATATTTTTCCATCCAATTAGCATTTTCCTCTGCTTGTTCAGGTTGTTCAGAGTTTGATCAAACTCCAAAACTTGAAGCTAGGCTGAGACTTGTAAGTGAGTTTTGGCTGGATGGGAGGTGAGATGTCCACCCCAAAATCTGTTTTGGTCACATTGTTTTTTTCCTTTGGGTTAGCAGTGAAATAAGAAAGGAGCGGGGTTTGAAGTTTTTTTTAACTTGATGGAACAGCTGATCAACAAAACTGGTAACACTTCACTGAACTTGCTTCCAGTTGGTGGGCGACAGGCAGAGGAAGTGTGTCTTTACTAGTAGAAGTAGGGTAGAGGCCTGGGACGGAGACCTAGGATCACAGAGTAATTTAAAGAGAGAGAACAAACAACTTGCTGAAGATAAGCCTTCCCGCTGCAACACTAAATTTAGTATCTCTAGAACTTTATGTACTCTTCAGTCCACTTCAAGTTCTACTTGCAGGCTGTGTAAGATCTCCACAAAAGCTCAACAGTAGGTAGACTAACAGTTGGACCAGGGAGGAGAAAAGATGAGATCTTCGATGCACAAGCAGAATGGGACAAGGAGAGAAAATGAGTGGAGAGACAGCAGACGAGGGGAGAGGCTGAGGTGTGATCAGAGGTAGAGGAAGCTGGGACTTGAACAAGAAGGCTGGACATGGGTGAGTGGTAAGGTGCTTTGTTTTTAATTGCTTCTTAAAAATAATTCTGCAATGAAACATAAAAATGGTGACTTACAGCTGTACAGTGTCACTTCAAACTTGTGTTAAATCATGAGGATATCTTTTTTAATTAAGTGGTCAAATAGTACTTTCTCACTGGGACTCTTGCTTCTCAGCTCCCTGGAGAGAGATGAAACAGTTGTGTGTATCAAAGGGGATGGAGGCTGCATAATGAATGAGGTGGAGGATTGCAGAAAGAAAAAGGAAGTGATCTCATGGTCAAGATGGTTTAATGCTACCCTGGAGAAATCAGGGTTTTTTTCCTTTTCTTGGGAATAGAGTTATGCTGAGACAAGTCATTTCACGGGGCAGGGGGAGGAAAGGGAGGGGAGAGAGAGAGATTTTCCACAGGTGGCTGCTTGATTTTCTGGGGAAACCATTGAGATCCTAGGGTCACACTTGCAGAAATGCTGAGCATCTGCAGCTGTTGCTGAAAATACCAGGAGTTGTGCTTTAGACATAGAAGCTGTTATATACGACAAACTATTGTGAGAAATAGAGGTATGGATATCTCAAATTGCTCACTGAAAATTGTCATGCTTTAACGTAAATGTTCCTATCTTTCCTTTCCTCATCTGTAAAATCGGGATAATAGTACTCAATCTTCTTGCTGGGACAGCATCTGTTCACTAGTGTTTGGGAGGCAATCTTAGGCTGTAGTGATATGTAGTACAAAAGTTCAGGAGGAAATTAATGGTTTTATCTCTGCAACACAACTTGAATAGTTTGTAGTAAGTGTGTCATGAGCATTGAACAAGAATAGAGCAAAGTGTGGTGTAGCTGCTTATTAAAGGCTTGTCAGCATGGGGGGATTCACTTCACACTGAGCTGTGTTTGCTGCCTACAAAAAGGCTTTCGTCCACCAGACACAATTAATAGCCCAGAATAACTGACAAAGCATCGCTGGTTCACACTTACTCAGTTTCAAACTGTAGTAACTTTGTGTGTAATAAATACCCTTTGCATCCACATGTACTCTTTGGCTTTGCACTTTGAGCTTTTCTCTTTCCCCCGTTTTGATTCCTTCTCTCCTTTTTGGAACAATAATGGACTGTTTTCTTTACTACTGGTAATTTTTATAAAGCAGTTTGGTAAAAATTATCTCAATACTCAAATTTCAAACTGCAGACATATAACCCTAGAGATATATAAGACAACCCAGAGCATGAAAACATAGAATTAAAAAAAAAAACTTACGAAAGTGATACTTTAAAATCTTAACAAGGTACTAATTGGTGAAACAAACTCAAAGTATTCAAGTAAATCATGGAACTGTCATATAAGATATAGTTGACCTGTGGTGTGAAAGTATGAGAAACAAGCTATGAAAATTACACATCTTGCAAAAAGTTAATTGCTGTTCTCTAATTCGCAACATAGGCATTTCCTGAAAACCTGCTCTTTTAGACAAGTTTCTGAAAATTCTTGAAAATCCTTATATGTCTGTCTGCTGGACTTTCAAGACACTGCATTTGAAAGATGGCTATTTAGCAGTTCTTAAACAGCTCCTTTGGACATTCGAAGGCTTTCTTGGCCAGGACAGCCAAGGTTAACAAGATATGTTAGAATATTGTGTTGGAAATATCATTATTAATACACCTTGTGGTTGCTGTAGATGAAGATCTGTCATTTTCCATCAAAGAGAAAAATCATGAGCTGCTAAAGTACCTGACATCAGGATTTTGTAGGTGATCCTCCAATATGGGTAGCTTTTTGGGTGATTGGCAGTTAGGCATTGGAGCCTAATGGAAAAGTACCTTCTGCATTCATAGAGGTATGAGGCAGAGTCAGAGGCCTCAGTACACAGAGCAGAAATGGCTTGGAGCAATTGAAGAGCCTGACATGTGCAAAAACCATTAGCACTTTCAGGAGAACTGACAGCTTTGTATCATGTGGCAAAGTTTTAATATCAGCACACTTTTCATTGACAACAGTCCCAAAAGTCAGTGTGCATTCACCACGTGGACTACCTCCTGGCCAGAGCAGCTGTAGGTGCTATACTTCCCAATGGCAGAGAGCGGGTGCCACACCATTGTCTAAAAACGTGTCTTTCGTCACTCTTTAGTTCTGAGCCCACTGCTTACCATATCAGATCTTCAGTGCAGTCTTCTGTGAGCAAATGGAGCATTTGGTTTTGCTCCAACTCAACTCCAAACTCAAACTCATTTTGGAGCATGAACCCTCCAAAACAATGCACTCAGTGAAGCTGCTCCAAGAAACTCCTCTGGAAGCAGTCAGTAACTATCCTCGTCTTCCCCTGGGCTAATTAACTGCTTCCTGTGCAACCAGAAGTCAAGCAAAATTGCTAAGCACATTTCCTGGCCAAAAGAAACTTGTCAAATACTTTTGCACAAGTCAGCAAAGTATTGCAATGACTGGCATTGTAGAGCAGAGCATCCTTTTAACCATGATGGACAGACAGAAAATTGAAAGTTATGCTGCGTACCTCCAAGAAGAGATGAGTTAGGTGTGCAAGGAGAGGACTGCCGGGGATTTTACTAATTTGACCACGGCTGGAATTGATGGGCGTCTAGTAGATATCCCCAGTACAAAGTGGGGAAAAGTCCACAATGCTTAAGGCCCAGCAGCAGTTAGGAGTAGCAAGGTTACTCATCAGAAGAGGCACATATTTACTTCAGAGGAAGCAGTGAGTCACAAGTGAACCAAGCATCTGCATGATGTAAGCTACATCTGTGCAGACGTGATAACTGTGTATCAGCTGGATGGTATGTGTGGCCACTACCCACAGCATCTCATTTATTGTGAAGTAGATTCCTCCTCCTCACCCAGGAAGCATTGTCTTCATACCTCTACCTTATGCACTGAATGAGACAAGCGTGGATGTAAGGAACGTGGGCTAGCCCACTCCAGATATTTTGCCAGAGCAGCTCTGTTGGTCAGGGATATAGTAAAACATGATTTATGACTGGCAGAAATATTCTGGCAAAAGATCAGCATGAGTAGTTGTACTGGAAGGTTGTACTAACAGAAGGTCTTATGTGTTGTAACTACACAGCATTTTATGATAGATCACTGGAGCTGTACCATGATATCTTCACGCGGTTCAGTCCTGGTCTAATCCAGAATTTAGACATCAGGTTAAATTCACTTTGCAGCAGTCACCTCAATTCTGGCATTTTCTAATTTTTGAGGAGTATGCAGTCTTACTAATATACTGATGGTGATTGTTTATGTTCATGTACGTACAATTTAGGGGAAGGGAAGGGATATAATACAGGTAAATAATGTGTATGAAATACTGTTTTATGGACAGAATTAGCCCATCTGCATATCTAGAAATAAAAACAATACTTGTATGTATTCTTTATTACAGCTCCATCCAGTAGAAAACCAGGGGACCCTCTGGTTATTTCTGATATCAAGAAAGGAAGTGTTGCTCACAGGTAAGACATTCAAGCTCCCAGTAAAAAACTGTTTCCATTGTGTAGGCAGCCAGGCTCAAGTTAAACAGCAGGAGCTTATAAGAGACTTGGGCTTTTATTTTGTAAACAGCAGTTACAAATTAAATCTCCACCGTATTAAGAAATAATTATTTTTAAAAATACATCTCATTTCTGTAATAATTTTCATAACTTCTAAAATACCTTGCTTTAATGTTACTAGATTTCATGTAAGCCTGTTTGCTTGTTCACAGAACTGGGACACTCGAACTGGGTGATAAGTTGCTTGCAATAGATAACATTCGACTTGACAATTGCTCAATGGAAGATGCTGTTCAGATCCTTCAGCACTGTGAGGACCTTGTCAAGTTGAAGATCCGCAAAGATGAAGATAATTCCGGTATTAGCAATGAGCCTATTGCAGATTCTTGTGTATTTTCAGGACTTTTAGAATGTAGAGTTATTCTTTTGCTTTTAAATTTTAGCAAAATAGTTTTGCTAAACATGGCTGATTTATGCTAGTGCTAATCAGAAAATGTCAAACTAAAACAAAATTTAATGGTTTATAAATTTTTGAATTTTCTCTGTGGCTATATGGCCTGCAGGAGCTGCGCTGCAAAAGAAGGTCTTCAGTTTTCTGGAAAGGCAATTTCCCCTCAGGTGTAGGCATATAGGGCTGATTTTTCTCTTATCAGCCTATTGAGATTTTCTCTGCTTTTAAGATTGGAATCATGGTTAGCAAAGCATGGATCCATAGGCCTCGGTTCTCCAGCAGAGTGGTGAAGTGTATGCTTTATCCATAAACTTACAAACTTGACCTCAGGATGACTGTTCACATGCTTAAATGTTGGTAGTACTTTGCACACTGTGCTGGATGGCTGATGGAGGAGCCATGTCTGACCAGCCCAGTGGAAATATTGGAGCTGCCATCATTTTGCACACCTACATGTATTAATATTCCTGGATCTTCCCCATTATGGATGCCATAAGAGCAGAATTTCTACCTGGAGATAATAAAGTCAGTATTGTTATGTATTCTAGTGGCGAAGGAAATCAGGCAATTATAACTACCATTACTGCTGGGATTTATATTACGGGGTTACACAAAAGCATGAACTGTAGCTTCACTTGTCTCCAGCTCTTTACAATCTCACAGCAAAAAGGCACAGCCTATCACACCTTATTATTTAAAATCAAGTGCAACTGTTGAAATGGTATTTAGAATTGCACTAGAATGCTCTTTTCCTTTAATCGCTTTTGAAAGCAAACAGAAAGTTTCTTCTCGGTATGATCAGTACAAAGTGAAGGCGGATGCATTTAGCACCTTGTGCAAATTGGCTTTCAGAAGTAAATTTTCATCCAGCAAAGTGAATGGCCACTGCTCGGCAGGATATTGTGGTTAGGTCCCCCCAGGTGGGGAGGTGGTATTTTCCTAGGTATAGTTGGTACATCTTGGACAGAGGCTGGCCTCACTGGCCAAGGGCTGTACATCCAAAGGGACGCCTTCCTGACAGTTGCTTTGCAAAACTCAGCAAACCAGATATGTTATGAAGAATAAACCACAACTAAGCTGGGAACAAGATTGACAGGAAAAATGCCTGTAGAAGGAAGGTTGAGTTTTCTCCTGCACAAGAGGGGTCTGTCTTTTAAGTGTCCATGGCACCTAGGAGCCCTCCTTCACCTTCTTCCCCTCATTTGGAAGACTCCCCCTCATTAATAACCCTGCAGAGAAATTACCACCGGACCACATAAGAAGGGCGTGAGTTAGAGCTATGTAGAAGAAATAATAACTTCTCCCACACTCTAAACACTTGTGGTTTTGTCCTGCGTGTGTGTTGTGTTGTGCCCCCACTCCTCCTCACCTCGTGGACTTAATCTTTGTCTAGGACAGCTTTCGTTTCCATTGAAGTTGGTACGCATTTTCTGTTGCCATCACTGAAATGTGGTTTTCAGTCTCCACTCATGTAAAATAACATCTTTGCACTCTTAGGTATTGCACACCGTCATAGCTGGTACAGATTTTAGTCTGAGTAGCATTCTTATTCCATGGTTTTCTTTTACACATTCACATTGCTTATTTTACAGTTACATCATATATCTGTATCAAAATTCTCACACAACTACAGCATCTTATCCCAACATGACTGGCACAACTGAACAGATTCAAGTGTAAATGGACACAGCTACTCAGAGACCTACTGAACAAAAGTCTCTGTACAAACGGTTCTTATAACAGTTGACTAAGTGACAAAGTGTAATTGAAAGTATTTATAGCAGATTTCAGGTACTTTGAAATCTAAAATGAATGAGTGTCACCTGAAATGCTAGAGAAAAAATACATTTTTTTAAAACAGTAGCAAAGGTGTAGCAAAAAGTTAAAATCAATTTTGGTTTATTTTCCCTTAGTTTATTATGAAATTCTGTTTTCTCACAAAGAGAAGAAATATGCTTCTCAAACTCAACAGGAAAAAATCATTAATAAATTCCCCAAGGAAAGAAAGGCCTACTGCTAACAGATGAGTAGACGTGGAACACTCCAGAACAGTTTCTAAATCATAGAATGAGATCAATTTAAACTTTTTTTAACCTCTCATGGCATGCTTTTTTAAGGAGGGGAAGGCAGGAAGCAGGGGTTCTTCCTCCCTAGGTTCTCATTTCCTCACTGTCTTTCAAACACTTTATTTTGATATTGTATATATTTGATATTAATTTTGAAGCATCTTTAGCTTCTAGTTCTTCTTTCCACCTTCTGTTTTTCCCTCCTCTGCTCTCTCTCCTACTGCTCTCTTCCCCAGACAACTGTATGTAGCACAGAGCTCTGTTCCTCAGAGCCAACCGTGCAGACGAGCCCAGCAGCAGCGTAGGAGATGTCATGTGCTCCCCCAGACCATGCTCCTCTTTGCCCTTTTGCCTGTACTGATCAGGTGTTACTCTGAAGAGCAAGAGACTAGTGGACAGAGAAGAGGTGCTACAACACAGAGGCTCAACTTTCATTAAATGTGGTTTCCAAGATCTATCCACGATTGCATATACAAGAAAAGAAAGAGGGAGAATCTCAAAAACATGAGACCCCAAAACTTGGGAGTTTGATTATACTTCCTCCCCAGATGGAAGGATGTTTTCAGCAGAAGTATGCTTTCAGCAGTTTTTCTGTTTTCTTTTTTTCCTGCCAGCTTCCCAAACTGAGGACAATTTTATCTCCTCATTAGCCTAATGGCTACCACCCTTTTTTGAATACCAGAGTTCTTTGCTTTCATGGCAAAGCTGGCTTTCATTGTGAATTCAGGCCACATACATGCCGCATTCTTGGATAGCTCGCATTTCTGCTGCCTGGAAAGAGCACTGACAAGAAAAAGTATAGCAATTTGACGTTTGTTGCATTCTGCCATTAATTTTCTTAACCAGGGCTAGCCAGAAGACAGACGTATTGGACCGGTCTCCTTTCCAGTCATTCACTAAGATCTATAAACTTCCAACTCTTATGTGGCCCGGCTGCTGTATGATTAATGACTTGTACCATGTCAGTGCTGCACCTGCGTAAGCGTTATCAGCATTAGATCCCAAAGATCTGTCGTTGTTCCGTAAATGCTGTAGCGAGCAAGAAGCAAGAGTTGCTACTCTTCTGCTGTGGAGTGGCAGCTAACGTGCTAGCCCACTGTATGGCAGCCAGAGGCTTCCAGTAGGGTCTTGGGAGTTGGGCACTTATGAAAAGAGCATGTCAGATAAAGCGTAGTTGATGTGAACTGTGCCAAAACACTGATGGTAATGCCCCAGGTAGTAATAGAAGGCCAACACTAGGCATGAAAATCCCAGTGTTCTTTGCTGAATAAACACCACTAATTCTTCTCTCCTTTGATTCTAAATGTGCACCATTTTCTTTTTGTGGGCAGCAAGGGGGAAGTAGGAGGGAGCTGGGGGGAGGGGGTGGAAGCTAAAGGCCTATATTTTCTGCAAATTGGGAAGAAACAAATTAGCTCCAAAGATACTAGTGTTCCTCCAGGTCTCCTCAAGTAGCATGTTCAGTATTAGAAGAAAGCAACTCTGAACCTTTGCTAGCGATGCAGGTATCTTTTTGCCTTTTAAAGTTTTTCTATCTACAGGAACAAAAATGGGAACATTTGAACTTTCTAACTTGTCTCAGGTTAGTTCTAGTAACATTTATGGAATGTGCATCCTAGACGTTTTCCACACCCGCTGAGCCCTTCGAAATGTCATTACCCACAAATCTAGGAAAGGTTGCCCACCAGGCCAGACATCCTGGCTGAATACCAATATCATAAGATGGGCAAGGGAGCATTTGTTATTTTGATCTGAGGAGAAATCTGACATTTTAAGTTTTAAAATATCCCTTCACAATTCAAAGGTACTGCAGCTGGTTGCTCTCCTGCTGTGATATTTTTTTGATGATATGTAAAGAGCACACACTGTATAAATACAGGAGCCTTTTTGGTTGCTGTAGCACCTGCTGGGTATTATTTAAGGAAAATACATTGTATTTAACCTTACCCAGTGATGAATTCTTCTCCGTTTCTGATGATTGTTTGGTGAAACTAAAATTTCAAAATAATACTAATTGCTTCATGCAATATAATGGAGCTACTATTCAACTTAGTTGATAATGCGGAAGCTATTTTTGATTCTGCTACAAAAGCTTAAAGTTTGTCCATCAAAAACATGGAATATATTTCAGGCTCTCTTAGTAAGACAGCTGCTCATCGTATCATGAATTTTGACTTTCCCCATAATCCTTTTAAGGAAGTTCAGTTTTAAAACTTTTGAATTATCTTTGATTCTAAATATCTTCCATTCATTTCAAGAAACAGATGAGTACCAATAACTCGTCTTTTTTTAATAATGTGCTCTTGCAGCAAAGAAGACCAACAGCCTCCTGGGCTGCATTAGGCAGAGCATTGCCAGCAGGTGATCCTTCCTCTCTGCTCAGCACTGGTGAGAGATTTCTGGAGTGCTGCATCCAGTCCTGGGCTCCCCAGTGCAAGAGAGATGTGGACATAGTGGGTCAAGTCCAGCAAAGGGTCACAAAGATCAGCAAGGGGCCAGAGCATCTCTCCTGTGAGGACAGGCTGGGAGAGCTGGGACCATTCAGTCCGGAGAAGAGAAGGCTCAGGGGGGATCTTATCAATGTACATAAATATCTCAAGGGAGGGTGCAAAGCAGATGGAACCAGGCTCTCTTCAGTGGTACTCAGTGACAGGACAAGAGGCAACAGACACAAACTGAAACACAGGAGGTTCCTCCTGAACATCAGGAAACACTTTTTTACTGTGAGGGTGACCAAGCACTGGCACAGATTGCCCAGAGAGGCTGTGGAGTCTCCATCCTTGGAGATATTCAAAGGCCATCTGGACACAGTCCTGGGCAGCCTGATCCTGGTGGCTCTGCTTGGTCAAGGGGGTTGGGCCAAGTGACCTTCAGAGGTCCCTTCCAACCTCAACCATTCTGTGATTCTGTAGCAAAATAGCCTGAAGTTATATTTTAATTGGAAAGAAGATACAAAGATTTTAAACAGAGTAAAATTTAGTCTTAATAGAATGCAGGGAGTTTTTCTATTTACTTCAATATAATCAGGTTTTTGGTAATAAAAAAGAAATTGCACAAGAGAGATTTTTTTTTTCCAAAATAATCCAGTAGAATATGATTAAGAAGTGTATGAAATGTAATCCTTTGAAAATGTTGTTTGATTACCCATCACTAGACTGAATGTGCTATTTTTTCATTCCCTCTTTCATAAGAAACCAATTGCATCCCCTTGGCCTTTATTGCAGATGAACAGGAGAGCTCTGGAGCAATTATTTATACTGTTGAGCTCAAGCGCTATGGTGGGCCTCTTGGAATTACAATCTCTGGTACTGAAGAGCCCTTTGATCCCATAATCATTTCCAGCCTTACAAAAGGAGGATTAGCTGAAAGGTAAATTGGAAAGCAAATTATTTTTAAACGTTCTTTTTGTCAAGATAAAGATTTATTTTATTTACCTGAAGATGCTAATTTTCATGGCTTAGCAATTTAGTTTTTTATAATTCTCCAAATCTGAATTTATAATCCTTTTGCTGTCGTTTTTTGATCATTGCCAAGTTCAGGAGCATGAGGAATATCTTAACAGGATGTTCTTCCACATACTATACAAGACAGAGCAGAGGATTGTGGTACTTATTATAAATCACATAGGAGAGACTAGTCAATCAAACTGCACAGTCACAGGAACATTTTAGCAGCCTTTTAAAAGCAATAGCCATGTCGAGTAGAATAGGTAAGGAAAGCACTTCATGTGTCTAAGTTTATGTGAAGATACGCCGCTTATCGTATACACGCACTGCATCTATATGTGCACTTGCGTACACCATAATGAGCGTTATCTGAGGAGCAGAAATGCCTCTCATGGTAAGTGATGTATAGAGAATAATGAAAATGCTAAGGTTTTCTATCGCCTGTTATTTCTGGGATAGGTAGAGTCATTGCAACCGGTACCTTTGGTGGTGGTTTCGGAGAGAACTTTAGAGCACACAAAACATGGTAGTGTGCACAGCCAGAACAAACAGTGCATTTACACAAAGAATTTATTTTCTTCTTATGACATGATCTATCCTGAAAGCCAGACTGGTGAAATAGCTGGTTACTTGCTCACACTGCCATTATCTGTTACATTGTGAGACTTCTAGAAACTTGATTCATTTCAGAACTTACTGAGCTGTCTGAGAGTGCTCTTAAACAGGTGGGCTGCAGTGGATATCATTCATAGGTGATCCATTCATTCAGCTACCGCAGGAACACAGAAATCCACATCTCCATGCCGCAGCTCCTGCTGTTGTCACTACAACAAAGGTGACTTGCTTTAAGCATTTCTAACAAAAGAATTACTCTGTAATACAGAGCAAAATGAAAGGAAGGAAGGGAGATGAGACTTTCATGCTCCAAATATGCAAAGAAATCGCCTTTGTTGCTTTTTATGCTCCTCAATGTTTTCCTTCTCTCTCTTATTGTAGGACTGGGGCAATTCACATAGGAGACAGAATCCTAGCAATAAACAGTAGCAGCTTGAAAGGAAAACCTTTGAGTGAAGCCATTCATTTATTACAGATGGCAGGAGAAACTGTCACCTTGAAAATCAAGAAGCAGACAGATGGTGAGTATGGCCAAGGGTAGCCATAGTCTTTAATCATGTGTTGTTACAGATTAACAAGCATTTAGGCCATCTCTGGAAAAACATCATGTCAGTAGTAAAAAGCATATTCTTAGAACTGCAATGACCACCACCACCTTTTTTTATTTTTATAATCCTATTCAGCTACAAGTCCCAAGAAATTTTCTGTCCCTGTGGGTCACATAAGTGAATTAAGCGATGCTGAAGACGAAACCTCTGCTGCACAGAAATCTGGCAAACTCTCAGACATCTATTCCACTACAGTCCCAAGTGTTGACAGCGCAGTAGAGTCATGGGATGGCTCTGGTATTGATACCAGCTTTGGAAATCAAGGTACTATCAAGAATGCAATTGACACTTAAAGTAGAAATTTTCATGGTTGACCTTCCTTTGCCTTACAGAGAGCTTTATCTGTACCAACTTTTAACCTTGTACTTTGTAATGTGCCGGTGTCTCATTATGACCACACACCTTGGCAGAGAGCATGATTTCTTACACTTGGCTGCCCTCAGATTCATTCTTTCCTGACAAAGTGATGCGTTATGAAGCATTTATCAATACATTAACAGGCTTTTGTTAGCTTTACTGACATCTGAATGGACCCAGTCCATAGCTCATCCACAACTTAAATGAGTTTATCCTTCAAATACAGATCAATGCAAGGCACAGAACACACTGAAGATGTTCATGAATTTGATGCCCGTATGCAGTAATTTTTAACTGACAACAGATTTATTATAAACTGCTGAAGGGGGAACATTAGGTACTGCTTATGATTTGTAAATATTTTGCTTCTTCCTCATTTCTGCAGCATTAACATCTAACTTCCAGCTATCAAAAGCAATCATTCTATTTAAAGACATGATTTTCCCTAACGCTAAATTTTCTGCTTCTCTTTCACCATTGTTTTATATAGGATTTTCAGATAATCTGATTTTAATTTGTAAGACACATTTATTTAGGCAGTGAGGGATACAGACATCTTGTAATATTCTAGATAACAAGAAAAATAACTTCCACACAGCTTCAGTGTTTCAATTAACTCTCTTTAAAATGTTTATTTCCATAATAAAGCAGGTATTAACACTATACAGGCAGGTGTTTGGACAGGTAGATCCTTACTTCAAATAATTTTTTTCTCACTCGCTCTGGTTGCACACATTCTTTCAATTTTATTTCTCTGCTTCTTTCTGCTGCTTTCCAGGAGCATGGGTAGTAGCTCAGGGACAGCTTGTTTTGTACCCTCACACAGAGAACTGAAAGCGAGCTCTGCCCAGCAGATTTCCCATATAGACTGAAGTTCTGCTATTCTTTAGTGTGCCTGCTCAGTGATAACACTGGCACTTTCTTCTGGAAAGCAGAACGTTTCCTTTGAAACCTGCTGAGCTACCTGAAACAAGAAATAGCTGATGTCACTACTAGTGGCCATTTTTTAATGTTCTTTAATTGTTAAGTATGTTAGCTTTATTGCATGTATTTGGCATCAACTTGCTTTTAACAAGACAGTCTAAATACATTTAATTATAACTCCTGTTTTCTACATTTTACTTTTACTTGACTGTTACATATAACATTTTATGTAGTACTCAATGTATTTGGCTATATTCCCCCTGTATAGTTTGTATATCACTGGAGTTAGAATTGGGATGAATTTGTCCCCTTTTCTGTTTTTAACTGTGTTGTTCCATTTATCAAAATAAATCATGTCAGATTCTCATCTGGTATTTTTAAGTTCTAAGGAGAAGTATTGCTGAAAAAGTGCCAAAATGATAGTTCTCATTTCCTGGGTGAATTTGTGGTATTTGGAGCAAATTGTTCAACTGTGGAAAGGATTGAGGCCCAGACTGCTCTCCTAAAGTCCTGATGATTCAGATGCCGTAACGAAACTAAACCAGTATCTCACAACAGTTTTTTTTCCTTACTCCCTTGAAAAAATCAGCCCAGGCTTGGCTGGGTACATGGCACTTCTGCTAAACAGCCTGAGTGTAATCAGATTTGCGCCTTATCCCTTGCTGTGGTACTAATGTGACCCACGTTTCTATTAAAGTTCATTCTGTCTTGACCTGTCAAGTTGAGTTTGGCTTCTCTCCAGACCTTTCTCAGCATAAGCATAGGCTAAGCAAATTGAGGAGTTTGGGGAATATTTCTGGAGTACCAGATAATGCTTTTATCCTATTAGTTACTAATTTAATGCTGGTGAGCGGTCTTTTCTCTCCTTGAATTAATACCCCATTTTGTACCTTTGTCTGATGTGTCTGCCGTACTAATCCGGCACCTTCCTCACACAGCAGTCACACTTTCACAACCAAAACCCTTCCTAGAATCTAGGAGTATGTCATGTCTGCCAATTAACTGGAAAATGCACACAACTCTGTAGTTACATGGGATTTGAGGGAGACAGGTCTAAGCTGATTTATGGAAGCAAATTGCCCTCTTTAGGGAGGTGACAGCAGTGATATTTGTTAGTCATCAACAAAACAGAACTTCCTAATCCAATATGCACGTCAGAAAATGCCAACTACAGAGCTAGGAAAGGAATATGTCAAGATGAAATACATGTATAGGAGTTCTGCCATAATGGATTTTGCTTACCAGATCAGCATCAGCTTGTGACAAGTCAATCCATGTGTTCTTGACACAACACTTGGAAGCCAGAGTCTGTCTGGTTCCTATTTGGAATCCAAATTACATTTAATTCAGTAAAAGAAATACTACTGAACTAATACCAACATTGCTTGTATGATAAAAGCACCCAGAAGTAAACTCTTCAGATATCAAGGCTGTCTGATGCTGCTTGCACAGCCTTGAAATACTTGGAAATGGCTGATAAAGAAATCACTTCCTGCAAGATGAGTTGATGGGCTCTTTTAATGCACCCTTGCAAACTTTTTTTTTCAGTAGGTCTAAAGCACAGTTTTCTTAATAGCTTAAGTTTAATTTTGGGCATATTACACATGACCATGTGAACACATAGTTAACACATCTGCAACATGTGATTTATTCACTAGAATTCAATGTATGATGTCAAATTGGAAATTGATAAACGGTGAAAATGTCCAGAACTAAACATCAGAAGCAGCTGAGACACAAATAGTAGGAGAACAGTGTTAGATATATTTAAGATTTTACTTTCAATGGACTTTCACAGGAGAAGCTCTAGAGCACACCTAATTTCAGCCATAATTTAGGTCATTTATTCTTCTAAATGTCTGACTACTACTGCAAAAAAAGGCAGCAATCGTGTCCGTATCCAAGTTCTATAGAACCCATCTCCATAGATGTGCTTTTCTGTCATCACAACGTATATAGTGCTGTAAATATATAATTTATGTTTTTAGGACACAACTATCAGGCTTCAGGATACAACTTCAATGCCTATGAATGGAGGAGTCCTAAACAGACTAGTTTGTCCCCTCCAAGCAAACCACGAAACCACCCATTTCATGATGCAGGGCTGAGTGATGACGAATGGGACCGACCTACAGCAAGCAGGTAAGTTCACGTACGAGTTTCTGTTTTCTGCTTTGCAGCTGCAGCAGTGCCTCAGAAATGAGCACTTACTGTCTGAAATGGAATTATGTTTTTCTAACACAGCTGTAACAACTCTTTAAATATGAGATACAAAATTTATTAGGGTACATCAAACATTAAAAATTAGGGCATTCCCCTGGGTAAGCTTCAAAAAAAACTGCTCTGTTTTCCACTCCAGCTAAAGAAAACTGGCATGTTAATCTTTTGTCTTCCCTGAAAATTCTTCATTTTAGTTTGGTCAAAGAAGCGGAAGTTACAGTCATCTTCCATAAATGTTTGAGACATCTGCAGTGATTCGGTAGGAAGACAAAGCAACCCAGGTAGAAATGTCTTGTCCAAAGCTATGGTAGTTTGCCATGCATTTCTCTTCTTCTGAGAAGTAAATCTCCTCTTCAGTTAATTTCTCTGCAGGCAAAAGAACTTCCCAAGGGAAAAATGCTAAGTTGACAATGCTTGGAGATAGCGAAAGATCCAAAAACCCAAAAGTCTCTTATTCTCCATTCTAAGGATAATCCAGCAGCAGAACCACTGCAGAGATTTGGGTAACTGCTGCCAAGAAACAGTTCTTCCTCAGAGAAGGGAAGACAGACATCACAGTTAAAAAAAGATTTCTGTTCTCTTTGTACCTGTCCTCAGGACTTGCAGACATGCATGTCCTTCATTAGAAATATAGTTTCTTGGTGTAGCAGCACGAGCCTGAAATCCCAGGCTGTGAGAAATTCAGGTATAGTACTAAAGAAAACTTTTCTGATTCCTGTATAAACATACTGGATAAGTAAATCCGTAAGGTCCAGTCTTTTACCTTTGAAATGCAAATCAAGGCAAGGCTTAGATGCCAGTACTGCTTTTCAGAAGCTGAATGACAAATCCTCTGATACAGCAGGTTGCCCAGTAGCATTTTTTCTGGAGACAAGTCTGGGCAAGATGATAGCTAAGATCTGGGCATGTCTGAACTCTCAGTCCGTATCCAGCCCCTTTGGTTCCTACTGGCCAGAAGCATACTAGAAGTTTTCATAGACCAGTGGTGGACAATATTTAATAAAGCAAATGACTGTAGTTTTCTTCATACCTCCTATTCTAGGTAAATTAATATCTTTAATAGCAGCATCTTTATCCACAGTTAAAGCCCATATTTTGTTTCTCAGATGAGATGCAGCCATAGATTCCACAACAGCTACTGTTCTGCAGGTACATAAGTAGTAAGCTAAAAAAGTTGATGAGCAGTGAACTGGGAAGCTAGACTGTAAAATACAGGATCTTCTAAATGGAGAGCACATATTCTACTATGATTTTAAAGCACTATTCAACAGAAAGTATGCACATTAGTCTGTTTAACTTGTCAATGTAACTTACACCAGAGATATATGGCACAAATTAAAATGATTATTTTAACCCTGTATCTGTAAAATGGATTATGCCACACCTGATGGTGTTCCTATACCAAGTGCTGGAGTACCTGAGAAGGGCATGTCTGTTTTTCCAGCCTGTTACAGGGATTCCCAGAAAGCTACCTCTTCTCTGCCTCTAGCTAAGCAACTTTTCTTCTCTAACACTAAAAAGTAATTTTTTCTAACCTTTATTTTGTGTAGCACAGCTTCCAAGAATGTGTGGCAACAGAAGGAAACTGAGTCACTGGGAGAGAATCAAGAAAACCATTTAAAGCAAACTTCAGTAGAAAGATCAGGGGGAGAGAGCATCAGGAGCACGAAGAAAGAGGGCAAGGTGTGGAAAGGTGCCTCTGGTGGGCAAAGGAAAGGTGGAGGACAGCTGGAAGAGTGGAATACTTCCAGGTAAGAGAACAAAGAATGCACAGGAGTGAGATCCAGCTGGGCAAGGGCGGGGAGAAAGGAAAGACAGTTGAAATGAGAAAAAGGAAAAAAATGGGGTAAAAGCAGAAAACACATTATTAACATGCCATTGAGTGACAAGGAGATTTCAGTTGGCAAATAAATGAAACCAGAGAGTTTAAATAGCTCTGTAGCCTGGTGTCTACCTACCACTGGCAGGTAGGACAAGTCTGTTATAGTTCCTGCTCCATGGAAAATTTTTTACTTACTTACAGAATACTTACAGGAATGAGTCTGCCAAATCCTAGAACACCCTATCACCTCCTGAATTACAAAAAAAAAAAAAAATTTTTTCTCTCATACAGCAATAAGAACAAAATCATAGGCACCTGTGTCTTCATATCTGTCCCACTACCTCTCCTTCAGCATTTTTAGGCATCTAAATTTCTGCTGGCTCTTTGAATAAACATCAGAAAACCAAAGGTCAAACAATATTTCACATGACGTAAAATCAATCTCTCAGGTTTCAGAAAAAAAAGCATCTAGATGAGAAATTATTTTGGTACCGTTTTTTTTTCTGGTGCAGTAGCTCAGCTACAAATCAGTTTATTCACATGGCTGTAATAGAGATGCGAAAGTTGAGCATTTCACACACCAGGAGACAAGACTCAGAGAAAAAGCAAAGGAGGAGTTGAGGGCAGAAAAAGGAATTCCTTCAGCTAAAAAGAGGTCCAGACGTATAGGCATTGAGATTTCAGATTTCACAAAAGTCAGAGAAAAAATGGACGTCCAGTTCTAGGAAATCCACTCTTTGCTGTCGCAGACAATTGCCTCAAATAATCCTGTTCATTAACTCTAGTTCCATTTTATATTATAGTATTAGTATGCAACATAAAGAAAGGTATTGTAATGGATAAATTAGTCTATGTTCAACACTGGCTATTAAAACAACTACTTAGGTTTATTGAAAGAGTTGATTTCAGAAGTGAAGGGTCTTTCTAAAATCATGTTTTAAATACTTTCTTATCTTGCCTGGGAGGAATTGCATCTGTGATCTGAGTAGGTATTCTCACCATTGCTGTATCTATTGCAATATCTTAGAAGAGACACTGATGCTAGGTGGAGAATCATTGCAATAAGAGATTGAAATGGCTGACCGTGGTCTGCCTGACTGATCGTAACTGCAAGAAAGCATCTCTGAGGCAGAGTGCCGTGTGTGAAGCATTCGAGCCGTCGTCCGCTGTGCTGGACAATTCTCCTGTGTAAAGCTATTCTGTTAACAGCGTCACATTCGCACTATTCTCAGTAATACATTGTCAAGCAAGGCCTCAGATGCTTCCATAATAGTGTTTGCTCTGTTTGGGTGCTATTAAGCACCACTAGCTGCAGTCCATGGGCAGCTGCTCCAAAGTAACAGCGAAAGAGCAAATTCTCTTTCCTTCCTCATCCTTCCCCCGCGCCTTACACATAATCAGCCCTCTCCCATACAGCAGCTCTGACGCTTGTGTGATCTTCATGGAACCGATTCCCCTTGCTAAGACAGCAAAAAACCCTGCTTCCTCGCTTCCTCCCCACACACAGGTACACTGTAATGGTGTTGCTTTGAGCTGTGCTGCTGCAGTCCAGAGTTGGCACGTTTTATCAGACCTCTCTGGCTGGGCAGCTTCCCTAAGCATCGCTGTCACCAGCCTCTTGCTCAAGAGTGCCAGTAACACAGCTTTGGTGCGTTTATGAAACACCAGACACCTAAGGCTCCGTGTAAGAAAGTCGCATCCCTGAAAGTTTCTCTGTGTTAGTGTATGAAATGACTGGAGCAGTTTATATGATGGCAGTCAGGTGATCTTAAATTGATAATGATAAATGCAGCTTAGGCTGAAGGAGTTGGATAAAAAGCACCGCCATCCCCCTTTTGCAAAATGCTGTTCGCAAAAATGAGGGTTTTTTCCTATCCCCTGGGGGAAGTCTGTGAGGTTGAAAGGTTTTATTGCCAATATTCGTTGCACGGAGCAGCTCTGCACACAGCTACTGGTTGAGTCATTAATTTTCATAGGTAGGTCCCAGTTTCAATCCAGTAAAAATGTGTATTGAATTGTTCTTGGAATCCCTTTATCTCCTTACTAAATAACTCGCTGCTCAGATCCTGCCAGCTGCTAGTGACTGCCAGGTTATGAGAAGACTTGTCATGTGCTCTGCATGTCCAGCCTCTCCTGATCAGCGACTCTTCCCCACTCTCCTGCCTACCTACCGTAACGTTCTGTCATTCAAGTTGCAATCTGTGGCAAGGCACTTGTTTAAAATATATTTTTCGAGGGGAGAAAAGTCCACATTTTTAACCTCTCATTGTAAATCTAGCTTCGCAGGTACCCATGATAACACCGAGGCTGACCAGGAGGAAAATTTCTGGTCTCAGGCTCTGGAGGATTTAGAGACCTGTGGCCAGTCAGGAATTCTGAGGGAACTAGAGGTAGAACAATCTTAACCTTTCTTTCCAATTATAGAGAAATGTAATGGTTTTGGTTTGGTTTACATTCATTTTATTTTCTCCTTTTTTTCTTTTAAGTTGCACTAATCACACCAATTCATTTAAAAGCTTTAACCCCTCTCCACAGGACAAGGCTGACAGGCGTCTGTGTTTGAGAAACATGACTCTCTTGGTACCTACCCTTTACCTTTATATTTTTGCTTGTGCAGCTGCCTCCCCCACCCCTACCAGAGCTGTTTTCTTTTGTACAATGCAACTGAAGTTCTATAAACATGTTCACCCCAGAGCTTTTGACTTGCAGCTTCTGCCATGCATAACCATTGATGCTGTCTGCACAGGCAGCAAATGGCGCAGGACTTCTTAAGTGGGCATAACCTTCCAGCAGCAATGCATCCCATTCTCTGACAGACGCTTTATGCAGCTTTTCTTAGCATGTTGTAGGTTGTCTTTTAAATTCAAACTTAATTTGATTAAGATGAACATAAAAGAAAATCAGCTTTTCAAAATGTTTACGTATAATCTTACCGCTTTGAGAAAAAAGCTGCCAATGTGAGAAATGTTCATTATACAGCAATTTCTTCACTACGTAACAAATTTCATGTTTCATCCTAAAGTTAATTGCAAATCTAACTGTGCTTCGTGTTAGATTGTGAGGGGGGTAGAGGGAGAAGGGAACAGAGAGAGAGTAACTTTGGGTCTTTATTTTTCTAATCACCTTTTCTCTAAGTTGTCTTACCAGAACAATTAAAATTATGCTGCCACTTAAAGCTGAGGAATGAAAAGTCCTAAAATATTTTCTTTTATGTTCTTTTAAATTCCTGGAGCTGCAAAACTGGCAGAATCTCATTTTCATTTTTGTGTTACATAAAGTCCTTTAGCAGCCAGGAGGAATGTGAATGGCATAACTGGGTGAAAGTTTTTCAGTTCAGATTAATTTACTTTCTCAGATTTATGGCTTTTGTATTGCATGTATGGGTAGAAAAATGTGAATCTCATGTATTTGTTATTGCAAACGAGAGAAATGTAGGAGAAAATGTTATACTGGTTTAATTCCATAGTTAGGTGTGGTTTGGTACCGCAGGCTTCTCTTGCAATTTTCAATATTCAGAGCACAATAAAAGCATATGGAAATAGACAATTCCGAAATGGAAATAGATCATTCATGCTGACCAGAATTCAGTTACTTCAACACATTGAATTCTCCCCAGGCTTTCACAAAAGTGAAATTCAGAACTGTAGGTGCTGTATCATTTATAGCATCGCCTTGTGGCACAACCCACAGCTCTGAAAAGAAAGCAAGACTCATTCAGTGTGACAGGATGCTGAGAATGGCGATGCCTCTGTTTTATGAACTGCCATTGCGTAGTGCAAAGACTCCTTAGTATTTTGCATTTCAACATTTTCAGCCAAAGAGCAAAGAAAACTGTTGTTTGCCAAGTCCTCTGGATGCTTTTGCTCCATCAGGGAGTAATATCAGTCATTACTGAGCACAAAAAGATACTGTTAAGGCTACAAAATATTATCTCGTAATGAAAGTAGTGCTGTAGCTGGGAGAAAGAAGGGTGACAGACGTGCTCACCAGAGTCAGAAGCAAACATTTGCCAGTTTTCCCCTTATTTTTCCCCGCTTCATTTTTACTTCTTATTTTTAAGCAGGCTGCCTGCATCCTGTCCCAGTCAGAGTTCAGGTTATGGCCCTTTAATTTCCCTTTTCACTTGTCCATCAGCACCAGGGAGAATAAATAGGGAACTCGGCGCTCCCTATCCCAGCAGTGGCACCTCCGTACGGTGGCTGTGCCGAAGTGCGTTTGCCTTTCTGTTGCCCAGAGCAGAAAGTCTTTCACAAGGGAGGAGGCTCCTTGCAGTGCACGGGTGCTTTCCATGACAGTCCGTTCCACCGAGTGGGTGAGATGACTGCCGTCGTTGTCTTTCAAGGTTTCACCCTCCGTGTATTCTCACATCTGACATAAAAGGCTAGCTTTTACTGAGATTAAAACCAGCAGTGAGACAGGGGCTTGTATCTGTGAAGTATTAGTGCTGTGCTGAGGCAGTGACTCTTGCAACGTGCGTGTTGTGCAAAGCTGCTTTCCAGACGGCAAGCTCACCTGCACGGAGCATTCGCCAGCCCAGGATGGTATCCGGGCACTCTCTCTGCCAGCGCTGACTCTAGAACTGCCTACATATTCTGCTGACTCACACTTTTTTACCTTGCACACACAATCTGAATTGTAAATGCCTTCCTATAGCTCCGATTCCAACAAATGCAATTAAGCCGCAACTTAAATATAATTTTATTTACATGTAAAGTATTTTTAAAATAAGTGACTGTACTACACACTCTTTGGTCTGCCAGGGGACTAGCTTACAAGTGTAGTCGTTCTAGTGTTCAGTATTTTAGTTTGAAATGCCATCTGAAAACTTTTGCCCATAGGGTTTTGTTATTGTTGGTGTGTTTTGTTGTGGTCCTTTATTTTATAGTGATTTGCAAGCAGATTGAACATCTATCCTCTTGCCTTTTGCTGTGCCCTGAGTGATTGTGTTTGAACAAAGAATAGAGATGATTTTCCTACTGCTATGAATTGACCCCTTACTTAACCCACATTCTGTGTTAAAAATTAACCTGTTCATTAATGCTCTAGGCCACAATTATGTCAGGAAGTACAATGAGTTTGAATCATGAAAACCCACAACCTCGTAGCCAGCTGGGAAGACAAGCCAGCTTCCAGGAAAGAAGTACTGTAAGGCCACATTACAGTCAAACTACTCGTAGCAACACGTTGCCATCAGATGTGGGGAGAAAGTCCATGGTTCTGAGAAAAATTAAGCAAGAAATGAAAGAAATCATGTCACCAACTCCTGTGGAGTTACACAAGGTCTGTAATTTTCTTCTGACAGCTTTGAAATAATATATTCAGCATAGGGAATCTAATTATATGGCAATACAGTAAGCACTTTTTATAATGACTCCACAGATGTAATTTGGGGGCCATGCATATTAGTTCTTACAAACACATTAATGATATATCCTTGGGGGGGAAACAAACAAACAAGATGCATCCTTGTCTACTATTTCGTTTTACCATAAATCCTCAAAAGGGACTGCTCTTTTGCAAGGAGGATCCACTGGTAATTTGAATTGACAATACCAATAACTCATCTCTTCAAAATGTGTTCATTAAGAAAGCAAAGTTTAATTTCTAGAAAATACATTTCTTTAGGAAATTACTCTGGAGGGTTTGGGGCTCCCATTGGTCCTTTTTCAAATTAACACTCATTTTGAATCAAATATATGAGTCTCGATGTACATAATATGCAATGTTATTTCAAATTAGCTATTGCTTCTCTTCTCTTTATAATTCCTTTTCTCTGAAAAGGATAAACAATCTTCAGTCTATGCAACTTTTCACTGCTCAAGACTGTTGAAATCCTCTGGTGATATGAAGGTGGCTCTGCACCCCAAGGAAGTACTGGATAAAGTATCTTTAGATATGCAGAGCAAACACCCTGCCAGCTTAAGTCTCACGTCCAGTGAGGCAATAACAAGAAACCAGTTTCCTAAACTTTGTGAGAAATTATAATGCTTTTCTACTTGATGGGAATGGTGCATCTCCTGCACCCATCATCCTCTTAAAGACCTGAGATTGTCCCAGAGAGGAGGCGGAAGCATGGAGAAATTTCGTTGAGACATCACATGTCGTTTTCAAGAGAATTGGTTTAGTTTCTAGTCCCTGCGGGTTTGACTGAGGTTAGTTTGTAGTTCATTCAGTTTAGTTCAGTGAGGTAAGGACTCGCCGAATATGGGCTAAACGAGTTTTTTTTAAGGTAGTAGAGAGTGGGTCTTACACGTGGAAAATTAATCCATTGCCAGTGTAAACAATCAGTAGGATGTGTTGTGATACTTTTAAGCTATTCGTATTTCTAGCCTGATGTGAAGTGATTAATGGATTTAGTTACTGTGCCCAGTTTTCCTGAGTGGCGAGTAAATGCGAGATAGAAAACAAAACTACACCAGCTGGCATTTCATGGTGTGCTCACATTCAGCAAAGGCACAGTTTTCTCCTATGGATTATAAAACCAGCCTTTCAAGACAGATAAAATAAATCCTTTCCTGGAAAGGAGGAGTCAGATTTCTACTAATGAGTCAGTATTCTATGATAGCTGCTAGCTCTTAGAGTTCTGGGCAGTAAAAAATACCCTGTCCTTGAGCTTTCTCTCTCTGCAGGTCTATTTTTTTAAGATTGCTGTGACCTTCCATTTTAGTAATTTCCAGGTTTTGTTCAAACAACATACCCACTTTTTCCACTGTCTGCTGGAGTGATGTTGAGTTTGTTTATACTGTCTATTCTGTCATCCAGAAAAGTAATTTCCTTTCTAAAAATCTAAAAGTTGAACCTGCACCAAGGCTTTTCCAGATCCTTACAGTAGAAACCAGTGACTGAATCTTACGGTCTGATTCACCAAAATGAGCTTGTACCCCTATGATCACACATTAACCCAAGCATCATGGGCTGCCTTTGTATTTGTGCCCATCTTAGCAAGTTCTTACCTGTTGGTTTTCTCACTAGCTCTCATGTAGCAAAATGTGTCTGTTACTTTCTCTCTCCTCCTTAATTTTTGTATTAGGCCTCTAGTTTGACACTAATAACCTGTTTAGTCGCTATTTCTCAGGGACAACTTGTCCACTGAGAGTCTTCCAGAAGAGCTGCAATGCCAGAGGAATTACTTCACTCGCAGAGAAATGCCTTGATTTAAGTGTTATTTTCATGACAGGTGTTACTGGTAAATGTGCTCTGCCCTCTGCAGGCAAATGTCTTAATCAGCTGGGCCACTAACAGGACAACCAGTGAAATAAGAACTGTTTTGGAAAATTGTGATAGTATAAACAGTCTGAAATACTAGCTAAGACATAGCTTGCCTAAGACTTGCCTAGCAAGACGTTCAAGCGTGTAGTTGACTGCATGCTGCTGAGCTTTCCCAGTTTCTTCAAGCAGGACAGGTCAGGTGCCTGTTTACTGCCTCTGCCATGAGTCTGCATGCCTGTCGCATCAGGGCCTGTATGTCCTATAGATCAGAGTTCATACTTTAAGTCTGATTGCAGAAAATGGGCCAGCTAAGGTCGATGTTCCACAGGTTTTTCATCATGTGATTGGAAGAGAGCAAGTAGATATGATTCCACCAAAGAAAAAGCCACACATAAAAATGAAATGCATCAATAGCCAGTGTGACTGTGTAGGGTAAGAGAGAATAAGACTGGATAAAAACTGCTCAGGCTACAAACACAAACGAGTCAGTCTAACAGAACAGCATGGTGAGCAGATGACATTACTAGCTTGTCCTTCTCAGATACACACCTGTCAGAGAGGTAACACAGCCCTGAGGATTCTTTTGCTGAGTGCTGCAAACTTTGCAGCAAGTTAACATGAATTCTTCACTGCTCATTCTTACTCCACTGCATTACATTCACCAAATGTGTACTTGGACTGTCTTTGTCCTGAGGAAGCTACAATTGAGATAAGTGTCAGACAAATCTCTTCAAACATTTGTTCTAGATGGTTTGAGAAGTAACATTTAATTTAACTGGATAGCATATTGCTATATCAGTACTCAAATTTAATTAATGCCTTTAATTGATTTTATCTATCTAGGTAAGCATATAGATTATTATTTTTCTAAAAATCATAGGAGACCATTTTTTAAAAGTTTCATAGAGCACGCATTCCTCTGAGAGCAAAAATATGCACTAGACATCAGATAATTTTTCAATATTATTATTGCAAGTAGTCATTAACCTAAAATTACAGTCAGTTAAAATACCTCAATAGCTGTTCTGTGCAAGATGTATGAATTTAAATTAAGCATTTTCCCATAGATTTGAGAGGGAGGAGACACATAGAAACAGACTGAAAGCCTCTGTTTAAAATCTGTAACCACTTAATTGCTTATGAAATATGAATTAAATTTCCCTTTCAGCTCTCTTTTTCCCTTAGGCTCCTGATGTAAATTTAAAAGTCTTAACAAATTACCCATAATGGAGATTTTGCTTTTGAGATCAAACCTTCCAAACAGTTGTGATCCAAAGTACAGATAAAACAGCAGGATTTAGGTGTTGCACAAACTGCCTGCAATCTCATGCCCTTACGACAGGGCTGCGCTACTGGCAAGTGAAGATGAGAAACCTGTGTGGTAAGGCTTTGCCCATACCCGTTATTAAATAAAAATCTGGGTATTTCAGATAGCAGTTTTTACTCTGAGATTCCCTTTTAAGAATATATGCTGCCCTAAAAAGAAGTAGGCTCAAAATTACAATCTATAATACAAAAGAATTGCATCTTTGCAGATGACTTCCACCTAAAAAATGTGACAGCTAAAAAACATGCAACAAAGTTAAAATGCAGCATCATCCCTTAAGTGACTAAGTATGTGTTTCTTTAATTTCCAAGCTCCTGTTAAATAAACCAAAAGTCAAGAGAAGATGGCCATAAGGAAAACAGTTTTTTAAAATCTTTTATAATCTGTAGATTGGAAGAACTAGAGAAATAAGAAAATACTTTTATACATAAAAGTTCTGATTACAGGGTGGTGAGGAATTCCCTTCTGGAGTGCTCAGTCCATATGAATCAGGAAGGTCCAACCCAAACAACTAGGGGGGCAATAAAAGACTTTGGGTGACCATTCCCAAGTTCTGCTTTCCACCGTCCTGCAAACACAGTTTCTCACCTCCACAGCAAGACTCCACTTTCATGTCCCTTACCATTTGCAGTGCTCCATTTTTTAATTTACAAGCTGGGTGTGAATTAGCACATGGATTCCCCGGGCATTATTATAAACAAGACACGAGATAAGGTGAGGTAATGTGGAATGGCGGTTCCTTAGATCTGTAGAACAGGATTTGTATTTATTTTGTTTGCTAATAGACTGCTGACTAAAAACAGGAAAAAAGCAACACTGTCCTAGACCATACAAATGGGATGTGGTACATCTGTGGTAGATGCAGAATTATCCTCCGCCCTAGCTTGGCTTTAGTAAGGTCTTGACTGTAATAGAGTGTCCAGTTTGGGGTCTGAAAATTGAAGGATGTTAACCTACTGAACAGAGGCCAGACAAAAAAAATCCTTTTTTCGCATCGCTGCAGAGAAGGAGAGAATAAAGTGATCTTGTTCTCTGTGGATAGCAACAGGCTTAACTCTTCAGCAAGGGTGATTTAGTTTAGACCTAAGGAAAACATCTGAAGCACTGGAAGGATTGCTTTAATAGACCGTGGAGTCTCCATCATTGGAGATTTTAAAAAGCAGGACAGATAAATGTCTCTCAGAAATGGACTAGATGCCATAGGGAAAG